GCTCACTCATGTGATATGACGTCATGAGGCCCTTATAGTCGGCACTGCCACTGGCAGTCCCAATACAACTAATGTGGCCTTAATGTTGAACACAGGCATACAAAGTTGCTGGGTGAATTGCATGACGAAAAAAGCTAATAACATATCAGCCAATATGATTACCAGCGTTGTCAAAGTTATGGATGCAAAAAGGTCGCATGAGAAGAAACGACTTCCATATATCGATATTGCGTGTAGCCAGTCATCTGCCCACTGCAGGGTAGGACTCAGGTAAGAGCCGTGGCTAGCAAAGACGGCCGAGTATTGAGATAAGAGAAGGTGCCACATATTACCAGAATCGGCTACAGCACGCTTTCTACTGGAACTGTATCTCAGTTTGCATTTGACAGCTGGGTCACCACTGTAGCCGCTACGTGATACCCAATTTGGCGTAGTAGATTCGGTCTACTCGCCATTGCACAAAGCAGTGATATAGCTTTCGACCGTTTTACCAGAGACGGCCACTCATGTTTCGTGCTTTTTGGCAACTCATCAGCATAGTCTAAGGCTTGGTCTCAGGTAGGACGGCGAAGGAAAGGTCTGTCTAAATAAGACAGCGCAAGTGCCATCTATTACCAGAATCGATCACTTGTCACGATCTCGTTACCCTTAGGTATATGAATAAAAGTAGAATCCGGTTCTGATTTTGCCTGCATCTCGTCGCATTTTCATATAATAACTCACTCGATCATACTGCTTATACATTATAGGCAGCCTTGATCAGTCCAGATTGACGTGTCGAGCATAACTGTGCACATTTCTCCTTGTCTCGTCGAAACATGTTCATTTGCGAAGGTGCATGTCAGCGTACACTGTTATTAACTGAGAACAAAATGGTGCCGAATTTAAGGCTGATCGCGGCGCCGATTTGGTACGCCACTCACAATTAGGTTCGGCCAGCTAGGCTTAATTTTAGGGTCGTGAGGATACGAAGCGTCCACGCACATGTAACATCTTAATATTATACGTGCGAATTTTGCATATACAGGTACAGTACTAGACTACACCCGCAGCTCCGCGCGGGTGGTCGTAGTGTGAAGTATAAGTCATTCGTTTCGTATTCGTGTGATTGAAGTTGGTTTCGGAGGAAGATATGCAATATTTAAAGCAATACAATAGTGGATTTGGCCACATTTTTGAGCAACATTTAATTAATTAATGTTTTGCTTTTTATATCCTTGTAAAAAGTGGAGGATTACTTGAAAATTTATCTGATCTTAAAACGACCAGTACAATTGGCAATGAGGATTTTCTTGAACCTAAAATTGTCGGTGATTTGCGTTTCAGGTACCAAAAAAAGACGTTTCAATTCAATTAATCTTCAAATAGCCAACCGTTGGAATCTGCATAGTCAAGGTCATGAACATACCTGGAGATAAAATTTTCTGCTCATTACATTTTCGGTGTTAGGCATAGGGATCTTCAAATGACCTTCAAGGTCAAAGTCACGTTAAAGGTCAAATTTTACAACTTTATTACACAAATTTTTTCTTTGTGAAACGTATTTTTTGAGACTGTTTGTACCTTCTCTACTTTCTGCGCGCCACCTGACATGGACAAAGATATACTTTAGCGTAAAACTTCCAACTCTATACATTCCGGTGTCGAAAGTAGGCATGTCATTCATGAAAAATGTTATGGCCTTCAAAATACCTTGATTGTTGTAGTCAAGGTCACGTTCAGGATCACTAATAAATTCAAACCTTACAATTTTGTTTTGCGAATTTCTCGAGATATTTTGATCTATTCATAATTTTTGAGCACTCTGTATATTTTTGCGAAAAAAATCATGCCTATACCCTTCCTCAGGTTTCAGTTAGTAAGCGAACAAATTTTTAGGTATCTCCATATTGTGGTTTGGCGTTTAAAAAGTGAAGAGCATCAGTGCTTTTGCGAGCAAATGCCCTCATGACAATTGAAGAGGAAGAACACAAGTCTTTAATATTAACAATTCGCCCAGGGGGCACGAGCGTCATACAGCCAAACAATCCAAGTTAAAAAAGAAGCACACCTAGTCCTCCCTCCATTTATAAGCTCAACAGTAGATGGTGGCACAAGTTGTCCCTTTTTGAGACCATATCGACCAGGATTTAGTCCAATCAGTTTCTTCGCATTCGTTAAAAAAATCATATTTTCATAGGCTTACTTGAAGAAGAGACCTTTTAGCGAATCTGCATGTCCCAAGATTGCGTCAACAGTGTTTTTGAACCACCTCCAAACATTGTTTTTTTCACACCTACCAGTTTCCTTTTGTTTTTTTGGGTCATGCTGAACACATAAGATTTTGATGAACTGGTCTTCAAAGTTAACAGTTATCGAGAAGTAAGCGATTTAATATTTCAGAAGTGCAAAATATGCCAAAAATTTGAACATCGCGAATGTTTCTGAATATCCTTCAAACATAAACAAAAAAAATCCCAAACAATTTTACGGGATATATATTATTATAATCCTTTGTTTTTTTCAGTTTTAATCAAGGGCTCACTAAAAACGTATCTTTCGCATACTTTCTACCCGCTATTAAGGGGTTTATCCGATATTTTGCTTATTAATTTGCGGACCCTCAGACTTACTATACAAAACTGATTAAGGGCGGTGATTATTATAGGAATTGCACACTAGATTTCCCCGATACCTTGGACACATTTTGTTGTGTACCTGTGTATGTGTAGCTACCATCAATCTTTACAGTTAGCTATTTTAATTTGTATGTCATGTGGACGTCTCCAAGAAAAACCGATGACTTTCAATTACCAGAGATTGCATATGTTGTGGGAAACGATCAAAAGACGTATCAAGTAACTTTATTTCTTGATAGATATACTGAAAGAATAAGATAAATGTGGATATTCCATTATAAGCCTCTACGAAAGAAGCAAAACGGATATACTGTATATTATTACAACTCAATAAGGAAACCGCAGGGTTTTTCGATTTTTTACCAGTGTGGGAAGGAAATCAACAAATCGCTTGCATCCAAGTCCTAGGTGACATGAAGTTTAATTTTATCTGCAGGAAACGCGTGATTAGACCGATAGAATGCCAGGTTTCGGGTTACTGTATTTTCTGTTATCTGATTTGAATTTTTATCATAATGCATTTGAATATTCCGAGAAGGCCTTAATTGAAAATGTGAACAGGTGAATTTATGCTTAGCATCCATTTGGGTATTCTAGCGGTTCTCCTGCTTCAGAGGTGTGTAGAATTATTTTGGTTATCTTATCTTCAAATATGCTTATTGGTTAATAAGTAACCTATCTAACATGGCTTTTATTATAGCCATTTAATCGGGTATATAAATACATGTGAGATTTGGTGTTGTTATCTAGGTGCTTCATCAGATTAAAACTTATTCAATATTACGCATACTTTTTTATTTATGGGTACATTTTTGGTAAATGAGAAGATGAAAGCTTCTTAGTGTGTCTAAAATTTGTATGGTAAGACGGGAAAGATTAGAGACAAAGATAAAATCCTCCTTCCTTAATATCAGAAGGCAGCCGAAATTTTGGACAGTATACACACTTTAAATGATAGGTATCACAAACGTTACTTTCTTCCAGAGCTAGCCACAGCGCTTTTAGAGCATCTAGGACTTAATATTCGTGAAATAAAATAAAATACGTCCATTATAATAAATAATATCAGACAAATTTCGGCTGCAGCTGAGCCCTCCTGATTACATTCTCCATCACTTTTTGGTAGGTTTCGGGAGGAATATTTCCAATCGCTTCCATACAGTTGTTGTTCAGCTCATCTGCAGTATTTGGTTTGTTGGCATAAGCCATATTTTTCAAAAATCCCCGTACAAACGAGCTGTTAAATCCGGTGACCCTGGTAGCCAGTTATTGGCTGCCGGCTGAATAGTGCGGTACAGCAACGCCATATCATCGACGATTCCGGTAGGTTAAGCGAAAGACTTCTAGATTGCAGTGATTCCTAATGAGTATACACGACTGTTTGACTGACTTGATCCAGTTATTTTTCTTTTGTTATAAATATTCGTAGCCAACTTTTTCTAAGAGGGGCTAACTTGTGCCCAACATATGAAGTGATGACAGCATTGCGTAAAATTACGAGAAATAATGGTAGTAACAGTCAGCGTGTATAAACTGTTGCAATCCTGAGAAGCTACTGCATTGAGATAGGATCTCCTGCTAAGTGCGTGTGTGATTTTTGCACGGAGGCACTCGAGCTCGATATACATAGATTGTAATCTCGGCGATCGAACTCGAGAAGATTAATTTATCATTGTCGGGTGAAATTGCGGCAGAGCTTCTGCTCAGCAATATCGTTGCTGCCAGATACTCCAATATGGTTTTGAATCTACTGCAGCAGCTAAAGTGTTCAAGCTTTGTTGAGTGCTTAATTCATGGAGATCTCACAACAGTACTTTAGAAGTCACTGGAAGAACATTATTCATCAAAAAAGTGCTAGAATGCTATTTGTTAGTCAGGGTACTGTTTTGAAAGCACTAAGCTGTACCAGTTTATTGCGTCCCCAAGTCATCATAACATTTTTGTAATAACTCTATTCATGTGACAAAGACATCTAATACTCTTTTGTCTGTTGATAGTCACCATCCGCCGCCAGAAGTGCTATTTTCACTTTCGCGTTCTTTAAATATATATATAACTTTAGGAAAGCAGATCTTCCTGCGCTCTACACCAGTACTATAGATGTAGATTTTTCTTTTCCATCGGACATCCAGGACGTTTATATTGCGTGTGAACTCTTTCATAGTAGATTGTATAATGCTTTCGGCTTCATGGTTTTCTCGTGTGATAATTCTAACGATATCAACAAAAGTCTCTGGAAGCGACTTAAACGAACTTTAGCAACTTCTGACCATGAAGCATTCAGTGACTTGCGAAGAGATATCAAAATTGACATAGGCCTCTAATCGTTTTGCGAGAACTTTTGTTAGCAAACGCAACAACAGATCAGACATTCCCACTAATATGTCTTTAGAAAATGAGGAGTTGAGGAATCCACAACAAATTGTTGATGCTTTTGCTAAGCATTTTCAGTCCACCTACATACAGCTATCTACTGATTGTTTCTCTACGGGAAATGTTTCAAGACTCCCTGTTACGACAGTTGAAGTGCAACACGTACGGAATGCAATGAAAAGGTTAAAGCTTAAATGCTTCACTGGCCCGAGTTCCATACCTGCTTTCATTCTTAAGGAATATGCGTGTGTGAAAAATGGCCCTGCCAATCCTCTTTCCTTTTGGAATGTTGTCGTTTTTATATTTTTATGTATAAACATTCCAATAAAAATTATTATTATTATTATTATTCCACATTGCACATTGACGTATCTCTTCAATTTGTCATTGAAATCTGCCACCTTTCCTAGTAAATAGAAATTTTTGTTGTAATATTGTTTTGCTTAATCATGTTAGTCGGAAAATATCAGCGAATAAGCATGGCTTCTATAAGGGCGTTTCCACTTGTAGTAATTTTGCTGGTTTCAAACAAAACTAGAAAATTAAGTCACCAGCAGAAATTAGCTTAGCACTCTGAATTTCTGCATGGAGAGTCGGGCCAAAGCAGATCCCTGGGGAGTACTCGCGTTGACGTTGTGAGATGAGAGGCCGCAACATATCCGTCAGTTACGATGGATATCTTAACGCCAGAGATAAAGCCAGTCACCAAGGCTTCTCTGGAGGCCGTAGGATGGAAGTTTGCAATAACCAACGTAGTCCATTCATGATTTGCCTCTTCATTTCTTACTAAGCAATCAGTTTCTATTAACAACCTTGAAACGAGACTGATAATTCCTCGGCAGTTAACCAAAAATCGAAATCAAGTTTAAGACGGATTGCCAACGGGCTGCTTTTAACGAGAACATGTGCTGAGACATTTCTTATCAGAACCTGTCACATCGTGTTCATATTATGCATCTGAGAGGTTCATTACATTCTGGCAAATTCTCAAAACATCAACGTTCCAAATACCAAGAGGTATTAGAATTCCAGGCATCCGATACACGCTGTAAATGGCAAATATATTCACACTTCTTATGGCAGAACCGGTAAGGATCGTGCGTATATAAACTGACAGGTCACAGTTCAGCGTGCTACCAATTTTTACCGACCATGGATGGGTTTCGCTCATCTCATACCATATTGATGGGTTTGAGAGGTTAGGGTACGACCTCAGACATTGATCGCCAATTTATTTCAAATTAGGCACCGACCAGGAAATATTTCATTAATATGGATGTATCATTAGAGCTGATAATAACAGCTTGCGATAAGTGCATGACTTGGGCTGTGCAAACAGCGACTGCGAAGATGAGACTTGATGCGGTGTTTTTGCCACACCATATTTGTCGAGCTCTTGAGAGCATGGCGGCATTTTTTTGTTAAAAGTGTCTTCTAGTCTTCACCTAGCACTCACAGAGGAAGCAGAAAATAGAGCCTTGCGATAGATAGAGAGACAGTTACTGTGTCGAGCTTTGTACATCCGGAACTGGCTGGTACTACTGCTCCCTTGTTCCTAGAGACTGGAACAATCTACATGAGGAGGTTCAAAAATCGGGCTAACAGAGTGTGTTCAATCTTCTAAAAGCAGTCTCAGAGCCCCATTGTTTAGGCTTCTGTCTGCCCGGCTGTTTCAGTAAAAAAAGCATTGACTTACAAAAGTTACATTTTCTAAACTCTGAATAGGATCTGTTTGCTTTCAGTCCCTGGGATAACAACCAATATATAATGCTGTTTCACGCTTTTTAGCAACCATCAGTATGGTGTCTAGTCATTTGGAAACTGGTAACGGAAAGTAAACAATCATTATTGCAGTGTGCGACAAATAAATAGAAGTGACACTACTACCATGAGCAGGCAACCACAGTTCTTTGTCCATGTCGAAGTTTCTGAGATAACTAGATTTTGTATACCTATTTTTCCCTTGTTTATGTTTTCTCTTCTTCTAATGAAACCTGTTTCTTGAAACAGTATTCGGGTAGTGACACAAGTAAAAAAAAAGATCTTTGGTAGACATTTTTCATCAATCACCCTATTCTTCATTATAAGGAGCCTTCGTGAATACTCGTCGTTTCAAATCCATCGATTTGAAATGCCATTACACATTAGATAAGGAATTGTGGAGGTTGCAGAATTATATGCAGTGTCTCAGACAAAAATTACATTTTCTATTGATAATTCAATAAATCATACTCTAAGTATACAGTGGATAATATCTCAAATGACATGTGCTCAATAAGAACAACTTTCCTCGGCACTGGTGTAGTACAGAGGTGGACTGAGGGAACCATCCTTAAGGGAAAACCATAGACATTGCACCAAGCTTGATGTTCTTCGAAATTTTCAGTATTATGAGAATTTTCAAAAACTCTAATATTCACACTTTTCAACTCAACAGTATCATAAAATTAATTTAGTTTGTCAAAATTCTTAAAGCTTCCAAAGAGTTCGGAAGCTTAAGAACCTTTATTTGGTTCATTCAATTTTAAAAATGTAAATTTCAACATTCCGTCATCTGCAGAATTTCAAAAATTTTCATTATTTTCAGCTTTCAGAATTTCAAAACTTCTCAAAATTTACTAAATTCTTAATTTCTTCCAAGAATTCCAAAAGTACCAAAATTTCTGAAACTTCCAAGATTTTTAAAACCTCTATGATATCCAAAATATTATGACTAATCTCTAAAACATTTTTAAAACTTCCGAAATTTTCAAAATTTCAAAACTTTAATTTTTCTCAAAATATGTATGATTTTTGAAATCAACAAAACAACTTTCAATCATTCCACAAATTACAGATCTCCAATTTTCAAGATGTTTTCTGCTTTTCAAATATTCAAAAGTTTGAACAAATTTAAAAACTCTGATAAGTCCTAAAAACTTTCAACACGCGAAGTTTCTAAAATACTTTCAATAATTTCGAGCCCTCCAACATTCGTTATTTCCTGGATTTTCCAAGTATCCGATTTAGAAAAAATTAAAGACTTTTAAAAATATTCAATGATGAACCTTATGAGTAAATTTATGAAAATAATCTTTTTTGTGTGACTCAACGCCCGTCTCGAATATTTTTGTCAGTTAAAGCCTCTTAATATAATGATGATGTCATATAGGCACTGGACCAGTGAGTTCACGGGGTCAAGACAGTTGTTGTCCAGGATGTGCAGTGTCACTGATAGGAATCTTAAGCGGCAATGACCAGCGGATATTTTTTAAATGACTACATACCGTAATTTGTCTATCTTGCTTCGGCAATCTACCGTTATGCCGGTTGATTTCGGACTATGCCATTAGATGAGGATAATTGTCTGAGTTGGACAAGATGTGTTAATTTAAAGAAGCTAGAATAAGACGTCTGTGTGAGTCACGAAATATCTGTAAAGAAGCATTTCGCTTATCTCGTAAAACTTGGGCTCATATATTTTGCGAAACATTGTCCATTCAAAGAAGCAAAAGGATCCGTTGCAACATGATGGAATCTGGTTTTTGTAGTTTCGTAGAATTCTATATATACTAAAGACAAGAGTAGATCAACGCATATGAAACAATTTTGGTCAACGTTGGAGTTACGGTATCCTTGTTGACAATAACGAGATGCACCGACCAATATTCTTCTCTTTGCTTTTCTCTCCTCGGTTCTTCAGCCATCCCTCTTTCTCCCAAGTCTCTTTGGTATCTAGGCTTGTCGCACCCAGGTATCTCTCTAGGTGCGGTCCTTGAAGCAATCATTGTGCGCATCCAACTAACGAAAAAGTGGTCCAGCAATGCAGCGCACTTATGCTGAATACGAGCAGCAGAGAAATAGCTTTGATGGTTCGCAGCATCTGATAAAACTTATCAAACCTGACACGGGGCAAAGTTTAAATGGACTAAGATGGACAGAGATAAAAGTACCATTCCACTAACGGTAGAAGGCGCTTTCAGCAGCTGGATACCCTCTTCATTTGATGTTCTGTGCATGTTCTGTTGTTCCGTGTCATAATTGCTTGATACATTGACACTTAATTACTTCAAACGTTTCAAAAATTCATATATATATGAGATACCGTCATCGAAGCATATACAGGGTTATCCAAATTAAGTGTCCACCATTGGTAACTTTGTTATTAGTAAAAATACAAAGTTGTTTAAATTAGCAAACTAGTAGCATTTTTAACGCTGGTAAAAATGAGAAATAAAAAAAAACAATTGAGAGTCGTTATTTTGATTTTTTTCAGTAAAATAACATTTTTTTAAATGGAAACCCCTGTATATTATATTTTTTTCTGTTAAAGCATCAAATTTTGAACAAAAAAGTTCATAATGACTTTTCCGCTAAAGTCAAAAATAAAGTCAAAATAACGATAAATATTTTTAATTATTTCCAGTATTATAATATTAAGACGGCTATGAAAACAACATGGCGTTCGCGATTTGACAGCATTAAGATAAGCGACAAATTGTTAAACTGGACATACTCGCAACTAGAAGGCTTTGGAAAACAATGATAAAATCAAATAATGTCAAACATTAGTGTAAATACTTGTTTATAAGCTTTATTGTGTCATTAATTTAAAGAAAAATGTTCTCCCATGAAGAAAAGTGTGATATGTTAGAATGCTATTTAGTGTGCAGAAAATCCTCCTTGAGAGCAGTGAATTATATCCCGCTCGCATTCAACCGTATGAACGATATTTTCTGAGACTTTATCGAAAATTTAGGGGCAACGAAAATGTTTTTGCTAAAACAAGGGCAAAAAAAGAATTCATAATAAGCGAGGCCACGGAAATTGCAGTTATTGGATATTTTGAAGCTTATCGTGAGAATTCAATAGCAGATATTCTCAAGGACTCTAATTTCAGTTATGGTACTGTTCAAAGGATTTTAAAAAAATACAAATTTATTCCGTATAAGTACCGACCAGTTCAAACGCTTTTGGTAGGGGATCCAGAGAGAAGACTTGTTTTTTGCCATTGGTATCTTAGCTTCTGACGCCAAAATGTAAGTAACTTTCGTTACCTTTTATGGACAGATGAATCAAATTTTTCAAATTCTGGAATGTTTAATAGAAAAAACCACCATTATTGGTCAAGAGAAAATCTTTTGTTAGTACATCCAAGAGGCCCACAAGTCCGTTTCAGTTTCAACGTTTGGTGCGGTATAATTGGTTCAAAAATTGTTGGCCCGTTCTTTTATGAGGGAACCCTAACTGGTGAAAGATATGTGGAATTTATGTCAGAAATTCTGAATAATTTCTTAGACGAATTGGATCTTATAAGTAGACATCATCTGCATTTTCAGCAAGATGGCGCACCTGCCCACAACTCCAGAGGTACTTATCATTTTCTAAGTACTACTTTTAATGATCAGTGGATAGGAACAAATGGCCCAATACAGTGGCCTCCCAGATCACCAGATCTAAACCCACTTGATTACTTCTTGTGGGGTTACTTAAAGAACCAAATTTACAAGCGAAGGTACGATAACCTTGACGCGTTAAAGACTGCAGTTAGGGAAAAGATAACCCAGATAGATGGTAGGACCATACTTAAGACAGTTCGAGCAGTTGAAAAACGTGCCCAAAAATGTATTGAAGAACAAGGTGGTGTTTTCGAGCATCTTCTTTAAAAAAAATTGTTATTGTATTTTGTAAGATTATAAGTTGATGTTGAAAATAAAGTTTGTCGATACAATTTAATTGTTTTAGATTGGAGGCCATAACTTCAACAATTTGTAACCTAGGAGAAAAGTTATTGTAAGCTTTTTTGTTTAAAATTTGATGCTTTAACAGAAAAAAATATAATATACAGGGGTTTCCATTTAAAAAAATGTTATTTTACTGAAAAAAATCAAAATAACGACTCTCAATTGTTTTTTTTTATTTCTCATTTTTACCAGCGTTAAAAATGCTACTAGTTTGCTAATTCAAACAACTTTGTATTTTCACTAATAACAAAGTTACTAATGGTGGACACTTAATGTGGATAACCCTGTATATATATATACATATATAACAACAAGTAGGAAAATAATGGGCAAAATCCGCAAAAAGGAGGAAAGTGGATTCGAGCAGAAAATAGGATAGGTAACCCGAGCGATACGTATTTCTGCTGGTTGGCTTCATCAGGCCCGAAATGAATGCACATATGAAACTACAAAATTAGATACACATGCCCACACATCCGGATACGGGTGTAACCTAAGGAAACGAAGTTGGAGGGAAAAAAAACGACACACGAAGTCCACATCAAGAGCCAACCTACACATTGTAGTATAAAATGGCTATACGACCTCGAATTTTCAAGGAGACGTCTAACCACCACCACGCGGCCGGTTATAGCCACTTGCTGTGGTACTTCAAGCCCAAAGGATCTACAAAGATAATATGATCATGCGGAGAAAGGTATATAACAACAAGTAGGAAAATAATGGGCAAAATCCGCAAAAAGGAGGAAAGTGGATTCGAGCAGAAAATAGGATAGGTAACCCGAGCGATACGTATTTCTGCTGGTTGGCTTCATCAGGCCCGAAATGAATGCACATATGAAACTACAAAATTAGATACACATGCCCACACATCCGGATACGGGTGTAACCTAAGGAAACGAAGTTGGAGGGAAAAAAAACGACACACGAAGTCCACATCAAGAGCCAACCTACACATTGTAGTATAAAATGGCTATACGACCTCGAATTTTCAAGGAGACGTCTAACCACCACCACGCGGCCGGTTATAGCCACTTGCTGTGGTACTTCAAGCCCAAAGGATCTACAAAGATAATATGATCATGCGGAGAAAGGTATATAACAACAAGTAGGAAAATAATGGGCAAAATCCGCAAAAAGGAGGAAAGTGGATTCGAGCAGAAAATAGGATAGGTAACCCGAGCGATACGTATTTCTGCTGGTTGGCTTCATCAGGCCCGAAATGAATGCACATATGTGTGGGCATGTGTATCTAATTTTGTAGTTTCATATGTGCATTCATTTCGGGCCTGATGAAGCCAACCAGCAGAAATACGTATCGCTCGGGTTACCTATCCTATTTTCTGCTCGAATCCACTTTCCTCCTTTTTGCGGATTTTGCCCATTATTTTCCTACTTGTTGTTATATACCTTTCTCCGCATGATCATATTATCTTTGTAGATCCTTTGGGCTTGAAGTACCACAGCAAGTGGCTATAACCGGCCGCGTGGTGGTGGTTAGACGTCTCCTTGAAAATTCGAGGTCGTATAGCCATTTTATACTACAATGTGTAGGTTGGCTCTTGATGTGGACTTCGTGTGTCGTTTTTTTTCCCTCCAACTTCGTTTCCTTAGGTTACACCCGTATCCGGATGTGTGGGCATGTGTATCTAATTTTGTAGTTTCATATGTGCATTCATTTCGGGCCTGATGAAGCCAACCAGCAGAAATACGTATCGCTCGGGTTACCTATCCTATTTTCTGCTCGAATCCACTTTCCTCCTTTTTGCGGATTTTGCCCATTATTTTCCTACTTGTTGTTATATACCTTTCTCCGCATGATCATATTATCTTTATATATATATATATGTATATATACGAGCAGAAGTCATTGCCATTGCCAACGACCAGTTGGGCAAAAATACAATTAATTGTTAATTGGGAAATTGGCAAAATTTTAGGCTCTAGTAAATTCTTTTAGCAGTAATCGCGAGCTTTCGGCATCCTCTATGGAGTCATCTCCAGGAGCTGAAAACACAATTATGATGCTAGCAACCATATGGGAAGGATATAGATTATCAAACAACTTACTCGTCGTTGAGGTTGCAGCCAAATGGTATTTCAAAACGAACGCGTGGACGGGAGCACTTGTTAGAAATATAAAACCAAACGGAGGGTCACATTCGGTTGATTGATAACGACGGAAACTATCGTTAAGTGTTAACACTATATATCAATACACCCGAGCAGATCAAAAATTATCAAAGAGCAATTTTGGGGACAAAAACCGGCAAAGTCCCTTCTAACCTCCTACATCCGTTTCACGTGGAGAAAATGAGAGGACCGGAAGAATGATGCGTCGACAGATGACTGGTGATTGTCGCCAAAGAATGTGGAAATGTCAAAATCATTGCCAGACTTCAGGTATAGTGTATATATATATATATATATATATATATATATATAATCAGTTAGTTATAAATAAATTATTTTTGGTTTGGTTCAGGCAAATAAACATTGCTTCGTCCGAGGATGCAGTCATCAGAATTTTACAGTACCAAATCCAAGAACACCATACTTTATATAATGCAATAATGGATAGTAGCGAGACCGAAAATCACAGACTTAAACCTAGGAGCATGTCTGTGAACGAGACTTTTCTGTAGGTCACGTAGAGTTATTAAAAGTGAAAACACGAGTCCATCTATCCTTCCACTGGATCTTGTATTTGTGTTTGTATATTTATAACCTGTCTTCCCTGAATCGCAAAACAAAGCAACTAAAACACGTAATTAACTTCTTCAGTTTTTTTTTAAATAATTAGAACTATCACACCCAAATTTTCCATCCCATATACTTACATATACCTCACAAGAGATGGCGCACCTAACACATGTAATTTTTTTTACACTGGTCGTTCATTCTGAAGATGAGCTTTCTAAAACTGCTGTGATCTGACAAAGCTGCCCCATCGCTACCGGTGAAATGGGGTGAATAGAAACAGTTTCGGACCTTTCCTACTCTGTTGCTAACATGGTAGTCACCTTTTTGACAACAAAAAATAAGGAATCTACAGGTCTCGACTTGTAGATCAAAAAGCGCATAATAGATTTTTTTTTTAAATAGGGGGTTTTCCAAATAAAAAATAAAAACGCTCTTTTTCTATTCACCCTTAATGTGGGGTGAATAGAAACACCCATTTAAATTGGTCAAATTTGCTATTCTACCCACACGAAGGCGAATAGAAAAACCTGAAAAAATTTTTAAATTGATAAAAAAATATAAATACACAAAAAAACTGACAAAAACACCAATTTTACAAAAAAAAACATTTATTTCTATAGAAATGTAACAAGTTTAAACATATTATTTAAATTAAACAACTTTGATGCAAATTAAATTTTAAAATGTCTCTTCTTGACGTAGATGCTTCTATCTCGTCATGAACTGGGAAAACCTCTCCAACAACCTGGCTAAAATGAAAGGTGGAAACATCCGGAACTTCTGGAAAACCATAAATATATCCTGACGAGTGTTTGGTGGGGCGACTTCTTAAGAAAGTGGCTTCAATGTCATTTTCTGTAATATTAATGACTTGTCCGATAAAATATTTATTTCTTTGTCTATTTCGATATTTTGTTGGAAAACACACCAGAAGCCAAGTTCCTTTATCTATTAAATTAAGCGAAATAGGAGAAACACATCGAAACAATTTACCCTCAAAGCAGACTGATGCTGATGAATTATTTGTATCCAACTTATTCTCGGACTTATCGGTGAAACTTGGTAGTGAAGTGTCCATTTCTGAGTCTGCATCTGAAGAATGATCTTGATCTTTTTCCATGTCAGAGTCTTCACTTGAAGAATGATCTTGAGCTTTTGCCATTATTGGCATGAAATTGATAAGGGGCAAATTCATTTCCGGGTCTGAATCTTCATCTAAGGTTTCCATACTTCTTTCCAAATCAGTATCCTCTTGATCGTCTTTATCCAACGTGCTTTCAAAATCTGCACTTGTAACGCTCTTGCCAGCAGGAACTTGAATTTTACGACGTCGACTCTTCACATTTTGACCATCGCCATATCTCATTGTTCTTAGAAGGTTTACCAAAGAGTTATTAAGTCCTTCTTCAATGTTCTGATTCTCATCATTTGTCTCGTCAAGATTTTGCTGCGGAAGGCGTCCCAAGACTTGATCTCTATTTAGTGGAAAAATTCCACACTTTCTAAAGCCAGATTGTATATTTTTTCCAGCATTAGGCTCAATAGCCTTTGACAAGTCATTTAGCAAGAAAGGGAATCTGTCCTTTGGAACCGTGCAATGCTTTGAACCAGCCCCCATTTTCCATTTTTCAAGGATCTGTCGCCAGGCTGTTTTAAGAGGCCGGAAAAATGCCACGTCCAGAGGCTGGGTCAGATGAGTAGAGTTAGCCGGGAGGAATATAAATGAAATATTATTTTCTTCGCAAAGAGATACCGTACTTGCAGAAAAATGTGAACTCAGATTATCGCCAATTAAGTACTTCTTTCCCGGTAGATTTTTTACTGCAGGTATGACAGTGCTCTCTACCCAATCTGAGAAGGAAATCGCATCAAACCAACCTGATGGACTTCTATTAAATCTGACGTCCTTTGGTCCTCCAACTGTCCAAGATGTATACAAATTTTTAGCTTTGTAAACCACGTATGGTGGGAAAAATTTTCCATCAGCTGAAGCAGCGTACATAATAGAAACGGCTGACTTCGACGTATTGCAAATACGTTCTGGATAGCGACAGCCCCTTTTCGAGATTACTTTCTTTCTACCCGGATCGTCAGTTAAATTTGTTTCGTCGTAATTTACTATGTTTGATGGCGATACATTTTTCAACTCCGTGGCTAAATTGTCAAAATAAGCATTGATAGTATTGGGAGAAACAGCAGCTCTTGAGTGCTTGATGTTTTGGCAGATTCTAGATCTTAATTCATTTTTGTGACGTTTTAAAAAAGAATAGACAAAGTCTCTGCCAGGGATATTATCTTTAAATCTCGTTATTGTTTTACCTCTACTGTCTAGGTAATTTTTTATCATCATCCTGACGTCCAAATGGTCAAGTGGATACCCCCAATCGGAACAAACTATTAGTTGATGGACTAAAATATCTTCTTCTTGTTTGGTTAGGGCTGTTTGTCCTCCATGAAGCTTCAGATTTCGGTTTTTGTGGTGCCGATAAAGCACAGAATAATGAATGTTGTATGTTTCGTGAGCCACTCTATAACTCATCCCGTTGTCAATTGAAGCAAGGGCTATTTTTAGAGTTTTTTCATCAATTTTCTTATATGTTTTACCTCGAGGGTCTGGTTTATAAACGCGAGGCATTTTCCTGCAAAAGAAAAAACAGTTATGGGGTGGATAGAAACAGCGGGTGAATAGAAACAGCGTGTTTCTATTCACCCCAAAATTACTTAAAAAAATATTACATCATAGCAAAAAAAATAAGCAAGACAAGCAATTTCTGAAATAGGCAATGTGAACCAGACACCTTAAAGCTACTTTAACCAAAAACTCAATGTCTTACCTGTTTTTAGCTAACCACTGTGAATAAAGTTTTGCTAGTGATGAAAAAGGCTCATGTGTTCACTCCGACGGGTGGTTGCTACTGCAATCAGGGCTGCCAGCATAAAACATCTTTGGCCTGTTAAAGCAGTTATGGCGACATCTGTTGACCGTTTGAGAACAAATTTGAAGCGTTGTGAGGTTTAATTCCAATGTTGATTTTTTTTAAAAGAAGTTTCCCGTTTTTGTTGCTATTCACCCAGCAGTTTCTATTCACCCCATTTCACGGTACTGTTATTCAGCACAAAAGCTCCGCACCGCTTCACTACTTTACTTTAGACGAATTTATTGTGTATAAAAGGTAAACGGACAAACAACCTGAAATCTCAGACTTTTGCGGCCACATTTATTCCTTAACATGATGACTAGCTAGACATCCGCTGTCTCATCTTCTATCGACTGTAACCTTCACCGATACTTATAAAATTTCTTAAGGTCGTCGAATATTTTGACCCGAACCTCTCATGCTCATCAAAGAATATGAGATGAGCAAAAATATTGGCAGTAAATAAAAATTCGAAGCACGCTGAACTGTGACCCTCGTCCGGTGTATGTACGGCATAAACTTGACGAGTTTTTCCTTAACAAGCATGATGTCGAAATGGCACTCATCGCACGTACCAGATGAAGAGCCATACGGCTATGCAGTTTCTTGCATCCTTCGATTTATACGCGCCAAAAGATTCTGTCATGTCATAAGGTAACTGTTAAATACGACACCGGAAATTTCAAGAAGAGTGTAAGATTTTGCAAAAAAAGAACTTACAAGCAGAATATGCAGAATAGAGTATCAAAAAATAATATAAAGGGTTTCCATAAAGATATTAGGTCCTAAGATCTTACATTATCGAGATACAGGGTGTTGTATATTTATTGGCTAAGTACAAAACAAAACTATTGTTCGAACAATACGAGGGTTGTCTCATAAATAAAGTTCTCAATGTTGTATTTTTGCCGCGCGGGGTGCTAGGCGTAATCTGGCAACACCTTCATGTTTGTCGGCTCCCTCAACACCGGCCTTCCGGCTCAACCCTGAGAAGACCGAAGCGGTACCGTTCCGAAGAAATCGAAGATTACCCCAAACCAAAATAAAGATGACGACTACCAGAATGGAGAGATGCTGGAGAAGAGACGAAGAAGTTGAGGTTGATTGGAAGGATTCCAGCACGTACCTTGGAGTCAAGGTGGACCAAAAACTCACTTGGAAGAACCATGTCGAGGGCCAGGTGCAGAAAGTGAACATGGCACGCTCAAAATTAAAAACTTTAATAGGCAGAAGAAGTAAAGTATCCATAAAGACCATCTTGATTCAGACGGTGCTGCTCCAAATCATGACATACGCAGCAGTGGCTGGGGCTACGTTACCAAAACCTTGAAGAAGAGGCTCCAAGCTCAACACGACATAGCACTTCGTGCGGTGGTGGACGCACCGTCGTACGTACCCAACGGAGTGCTATATGACGAACTCCGACAGGTACCGGTCGTAATCCAGATGAGAGAGAGGGCCCGAAAGTTCTTCGAAAAGAACGAACGACACGGAAATCAGCTGATTAAGGACGCCTTGGATTACGACCCAAGAACAGTAAGGCGACATAAAAGACCGAAAAGCCAGCTGCAACAAGAAGACATTTGGTCCTAGCAGCTGATGAGGCCAAAGAAAAGGGCAAAAGACCGACAATAGTTGTACGCTGAAGAGGGCGAACAGCCCGTGTACAATGAGTGCACAAAAAGAAGCCTGTCGATTGAGGTGGCCAGAGTCAAGCACGGAATTGAAGCTAACCTCAGGAGACGAAGAAAAACAGCAATGTGACTGACTGACGACTGACTGACTGAGTCCAGTCGACGAGGATGGAGTGAAAAATTTTTAACTGTTGCATAAACGTTTATACAACTATTTTGTACGGTATATTTGCAGGTTAGTCAAAATGTTTGTGATGTGGGATCTATGGTAACGCTTATAAAACAAACCGGAGCCTTGTTGCTTTGCTGTGTAAATTTACTACTTTAGCCAACAAATTGCTCCCAACGGAAGCACTTATACAACTGTTGTTTAGTAACCGTTAAAGGCTGTACATATGCTAAATATGTTGGTATACAACTTCACCATAACCTAACTTTCTGCTGTCATATTTTTGTTAAAATGCCATAACGAATGTTGTAAGACAAACAACGCATGCATATTGGTTAAAAAGGTTTTATCAACCGTTCAAACAGAAGATATAGATCTGGTACAAATTATAGGTAAATCATTCGACTTTGTCGGTATTTCATTTCTGGCATTTGTCAAATTGTTGCAGGCAACACCAAAATATTCTAATAAACTAAAGACAATATGGACGATGCCATGATTATGCACAATCACCCGCCATATTGGGAAAACATTTATTCCTCTATTTGATATTAAATAATTATGTTTCAGTTCGAAATTACAGTTGTAAAGTGATAAACATTAGTATAATTGTGTCTGAATATAGGATTTGTGGAAGATTTAACGCAGATAAGTTCAGTTTTCCAACTTAAAAATCTAGACATACTTTTGATCATTATCAAAAAGTGAATCAAATACGAAGCCCGTCGAAATTGCATAACTACTTTGCACGATAATCGCAATAAAATTTGTTGCGCAAGTAATTCAATAGCCCTATATCACAGTGTAGAAGTTTATCATATACCTGTGTATGAAATTCACAATGGCCGATATGTAAGTAAACAAGATGACTGTATTGTGTTAGTTATATGGGGTTGTCCAAAACGGACGCAGGAAAGTAAACGCATATTAAAACAAGACAGATTGATATTCAAATCAAGTTGGGTACTTTATTTTGAAGGTCCATTTATACCATTTATGCAAGAAAAATAATATCGCTCAAATGTTCACCACGACTGGATTTACAGACGTCCACGCGATGGTCGAAATTTTCAATGACATTTTGCAACATGGTCTGTTCTACGGCATTTATCTCGGCAATGATGTTGTATTTGAGTTCTTGGAGGGTGGCTGGTTTGTTGACGTAGACTTTGCTTTTCAAATATCCCCATAAAAAGAAGTCCAAGGGATCAAATCGCACGATCTTGGTGGCTATGGCACATTTCCTCTGCGCGAAATCACGGGAACACCAAAGAAGCACTGCAATCGATGGATATTGACGTTGGTTGTGTGGCATGTTGCACCGTCTTGTTGGAAATAAACATCGTCAATATCCATTCCTTCAAGTTGCGACAAAAAATAGTCCTCTATCATCACGTGATATCGCTCAGAATTGATGGTAACGGCGTCCCCGGTCACATTTTCGAAAAGGTAAGGTCCGATGATGCCTTTTGACCACAATGCACACCACACAGTCACTTTTTGAGGATGCATCGGCTGCTCTTGATACTCACGGGGATTTTCGTTCGCCCAGATGCGGCAGTTTTGCTTGTTTACCGTCCCATTCAAAGTGAAATGCGCTTCGTCGCTGAACATGATTTTTGATGAAAAATTGGCATCAATTTGGCAGTGTTCAAGGAGCCAATCCTTGTGGAAAATGCGGAGCCAACTGGTTCTCGAAATGCCCAATTCTTGGGATCGACGCGTTGTTGATTGTTTCGGATCGTCTCTCATACTCTCCTTCACAACAGCAATATTTCCCGGTGTGCGAACGCTCCTTGGCCGGCCAGAGCCTGGCAGATTTGCCACAGAACCTGTTGCCTCGAATTTACGCACCAGACAACCGATGGTTGTTTCGTTTGGGCGGTTGTTGCGACCGAAATGTTCACGAAGCGCGCGAAACGTGTTTTTTATTTTTGCACCATTTTTGTAGTGCTCTTGAATAACTTTAATGCGGTCTTCAATCGAATACGACTCCATAGCGATCAATGGTAAACATTCAACTAACATAATGACATGTCGGTGACAGAAAACAAAGATGGCGTCTATGTCAAATTGACGTTTACTTTCCTGCGTCCCTATTGGACAACCCTACTCTTCACTTTGTCTATACAATACATAAGAAAGAGTTTGGTTGCAATAAAGTAGAATCACGTAACAGAATAGTTGGATAGTTGACAAAAACTGAATCTTACACTGACGCAAATGTCCTATAGCGGCTGCAAGAGGCTTACACTTTTGTTGTATAACTGTTACCTGCAGCCCTTATGCAACCTCTTAAATGACTCAATGGTCCTATTAGGTGTGCCCATTCCGCTTGTACAGCTGTTCTAAGAGGGTTTTGCCAATGTTCTTACAGTATACAATGCTGTGTAAGGAATACTGTATAATCATTCTTGCAACTCTAAGTGGAGGGAAGTGCCAATTGCTCTCCCCCCACTGCTCAAGGGTTTGAGGTTGCCTGGAACAGGGGTGGTGGAGGGACCGCATAGGATAGGAGAGTGTGTGTGTGTGTGTGTGTGTGCACCACCGATCTCAACAAGAAGCATCACTACCGGCCTGACAGCTATGCGCAATAGAGTCTTTTATCATAGAAATGCATCGACATTTCAGTAAGGTATATGGGGAAACATAAACAACGAAGCAGGAGGCCGTTGGTCTCCAAGGAAGTTATAACGGAAATTCAGCAAATCTTGCTTGAAGATCGGCAAATTACGCCTCGGGAACAGGCGGTTGAAACTCCTAAGGCTTCTGAAAAAGCTGAGACGGGTGCCAAGATCATCGTAGGGGAAAATTTGATGAAGCGTAAGACTACAAGTATACCAAAACAATGTGCATCCTCATTTGTATAAAATCCGGTGACTTATTCAAAATTGCAATAGGCATTTCAAAGGAATTAAAGACATAAAAAATACTGTTTGTCTCCTTTTTCCAATTTCTACACCGATGGTGTACCCTAGCCCACAAAGAATTATACCCGACGACATAATTTTTTCCATGTCGACATCATAACTAGCGCTCCCTATATCTCGATAAGCGTAAATTTCGTCTCATTCTTTCCCTCATTTTCTTTTCCTGGAATACTGTCACTATTTTCTGAATCGTTCTGATAAATGTAAAATAGGAGAGCTCTAAGGAGCAAAGTCCATTGACATAGCGATAGAAAACAGCCAGACCACCGACGGCCCGTGGGTGCCAAAGGGTCCTTATACTGTCCGTTAGAGAAGAGTCATTGCTCAGTGAAAAATCCCTCCTCTGAATAGCCTCGAGTACGGATAATGTAGTTGGGCCGCAGCATCCTAAACATGAGGAGGTTATGCGGAAAAAGATACTCCTCAGCCCCAAGCAAATAGCCTATCTCTTTCCCAGCAGCTGCCGCGGCTGACGAGGTGTGTCCGTGCCAGATCCAGTCGTCGGTGATCTGGACTCCAGCCAGCCGAAGTGGATGGCTCTTCGGTAGAACTCCGTCGAAACGGGGTGCGCGTCTTGTTCAAACCCTATGTACTGAAGATCATGAGCTTAAATGTCAAGCAGCAAGCTGCTTGTCATCATGGCGCAATAATGGTCATCATGAGAATCACTCAAAATGGTCGGATGCTTCAGATAACAGCCAACGCTTGAAACAAATAATATGCAATCAACCAACTGTTAAGCATCCTTCTTTTCCTCGGCAATAAGGATTATTCTATAATGTTAGCTGTTTCTATATTTTTCTTTTGCAGAAGATACCTACCCGTTACTAAAAAATTATGCTTTTGTTGTACATTGTTGTACAACTTTCCAGTGTAACAATGATGAAGCTCCTTGTTGCTACGCACAAGTTTTGAGTGTCAGATAATGAACAAAATGAAATAAAGGAGATTTTATATCAGACATGAAGTGCGTAGTAAACGTCCACCGGCACTCTGTGTAGCGTCATTTTCCTTTATTTTTATTGTTTAGCGCTGGCGGAGAACGTTTTATTGGTGTGTATAATAATGAGACACTGCCTGAAATGATAATGGTTTCATTCGATGTTTCATCTGTGTCCTGTGCAACGTCCTGACAGGTGAAGTTGTATCAGATATTATTGCAGTATAGCTGTATGTCTAAAGGAGGCTACAGACACAACTGCAAGCTTGTCCAGCATGCTCATTCAAGCTTGTTGTACAAGTATGCTCAAATCGCCTTCGGCACCACACGTACAAGTATGCTTGATAAAAGGAGAGGTAGTTTAATGAAATATGTCGAGCTCGGACGACGATGCGCTCGCTTTGATCGCTTTTGTTCTTGTAAAGAAAAAACAATCCAAAATGAAAAAGCGTGCGGTGTGGTATAAAGAATGGTTGATGAAAAGGAAAACCTATTCTCACATTAACTGACTAAGTGAGCTGAAAATATATCCGCGTGACTGGCCCAATTATCTTAGAATGGACGAAGAGGCCTATTTGAACCTTTTGTCTCTTGTATCAAAAGCAGGATACGATCATGAGAGAAGCCATAACACCACATGAAAGATTAACGGCAACATTGCGATTTCTTGCAACCGGGAGGAGTTATGAAGACCTGAAGTATTCAACTATTATTTCACCACAAGCATTAAGTTATATAGTTCCTGAAACCAGCCATGTCATTTACAAGGTGTTAAGAAGCAGGTATTTGAAGGTGAGTAATAGGACTATTTAAACTCGGTTATTTATTATTTTTTTGACGAAAAGATTTACAAAAAGTAGGTACATGTGTATAATAAACTATTACAAAATAACATTAAGCATCGCTAAAATTTGAAATATAGGACACGATAGAATGATTCGAATTATCATTGGGGGTTACTGGAGAAAGAGTTTGATAATGTACCTGAGATTGAGGAAAAGTTGAGAGGAAATGGGAGTAATTGGTATTTAATTGTTGAGGTGAAGGACAATCTGTAGAATATGTATTGTTAGTTTCATCACAAATACGATGGGACGGAGTCAACTGACCCATTTCGGCCATGAATGATGTGTGTTAATAATTTTTTCTGCCAACAATCTCTGAATATTGTTTGTTATGTCTCTCATTTTCAGAGCGACGTTTTTCCCAAAAATGTCATGTCTATCTTCTTTTAACTTAGGTTTTTTATAGTGGCCTTCAATTGCGTCCAACACAGAATCACATTTGTCAATTTTGCGTTTAGGTGGTCGGGAAATGGTGCTTTTTTTTGGGGTGAATTGTGTGGCCTCAGTTGTTTGACAGCCAGTATAATCATTTGTTGTTGACTCATCCTCCTCAATGGGTTGGTCTAAACTTTCTATAGAATTTTCAGTCGGTTGGGCTTCAGGTTCTTCCTGAAAATAATATTTAGCAAATATAAATACATATAACATCTACTATTAGATATAATGTAGTTGTAATTATTTTGTACAAAATATCTCTGTATTGTTATATTAATTTATTTCCAGGTTCCACAAACTGAAAACGACTGGATTGCTATAGCAAAGGGTTTCGAAAAGAGATGGAATTTCCCTCATTGTCTTGGCAGCCTAAATCGAAGAGATATCGATATAATTCCTCCAGCCAACAGTGGATCTTTTTTTTCAATTACAAACATAGACACAGTTTAGTTCTACTTGCCATAGCAGATGCAAATTATAAATCAATTTTATTTGATTTCGGTACAAATGGCAGAGTATCAGATGGGGGTGTCCTTCAGAATACAGAATTTTTTAGAAGACTTCAGGCCAAATTATTAAACATTCCCGGAGAAAAAGAAGTTGCAAATGAGTCACGAAAGCTACCGTTTGTTTTTGTCGCAGATGATGCTTTTCCTTTGAGGCCTGACATGCTGAAACCATAACTTGTATTGGAAAAAAAATTTACAACTACCGATTATCGAGAGCACGGAGAATCGTGGAGAACGTCTTTGGGATTATGGTAGCACGCTTTAGAATTTTTCATACCTCTATCAATTTAGAGTTATATCACATTGAGGAAATATTGAAAGCAACATGTGCTTTACACAATTATTTAATGTCGACAGTAAAAGAAATTTATGCTCCACCGGACTCTTTTCACTTAGAGGACATAGAAAGTGGTATGATTCGCGCTGGCTTGACCTCTGAAAGTTCTAACATGTCATCATTACAAAGGTCCCATATGACAGGAAATACGCCATTTAATGCTAAACAGGTTAGAGAAGAATTCAGGAATTACTTTTCCAATGAAGGAGCAGTACCTTGGCAACACAACTTACATACATTAATGATATAATATGGTACATTAAGTGTGTGTGGACTTTTTATGCAAATAAATAAACTACTTATGTATAAATGTGAAAAACAATAAAACTTACCTCTGTCTTGTTCAAGTTAGATACTGATTTTCTAGGTGTTTCTTGAACTCCTAAAAAGTGAAACAGGTGGTAGTACCAGAGTGTGGGCTTATAACGTTCATCTGCACCCATTCCAGAGTGTTCTACATCTTCAACTTTTTTCTTTTCTCTTCTATAATTAGTCCGGAAGGAGTTTATCTTTTTAACCACTGCATCCTTTCGGCATTAACATCAATTAACCTATATTTTTGTAATAATCTTCTGTACGCTGCATCCCTCTTTGCTTTGTTATGATAATCTTTGGATTTAACGTGCCAAAGACATGGCTGATTTTGATATTCTCGAATAAAATCTTCCAATAATTCACGGTTAACCTTTTTGAGATCACTAGTCGCTGCCCTAGTATTACAAAGGTGTATGTAACAAATCTATAAAATTTGAGATTTTGGGATAACATGGTTTTATGTATAATAAGGTATACACAGAACCTTTTAAATCTGAAATCAAGCGAATCTTAAGCTCAGAATCATAGAAAAATCAAAGGTGTATGTTTCAAAAATTCGAAAATTAAGTTACATAGTTCTATGTTGAACATACACCCACTTAATTCTCACTTTTGGTTAATTGTTTCGATATTTAAGAATAACAAGGTACCATGTTATAACATACACCCTTGTAGTTCTGAATTATTCTCATTTTGTATTTATAGGTAGGGTTTTCAGCACAAGTTTTCAGTGTTATTTGTGTTGCTGCAGTGTAACGTCGTGTGTATTTTTGTATTTTCTTATTGTTAAAAATGGAAACTAATAGTGAGGGATCCGATACTTTTGATGATTATGACTCTGACAAAGTTGCAGAATATAAACCACATAAAAAGGAATCCAGAAAACATATTAGGTAAGTGTAAGGTATAAATCTTATCTACAATTCTATGAAATTTTTGTATTCGAATATTTTTCAGCATTACAATACGGGGCAAGAAAATTTATATACCATGCCAACCAGGAACAGCAGACTCAGACTCAGCTTCTAATAATAAGGGTATTGGCACACGAAAAATATTCACGACGTATGTACAAATTCTTGCTTATTTTATGGTCGTAGTTGAACACGATGTGGCTTTTTAGTAATAAATTTAAAGTGTCACATATATAGTGGCTGCATATGATTTTCAAACGTTTCGTTTCAACAACGGCTCAAATGATTGATGTCGAGTTCCTGCACTTGAATTGCGCTGTGGTATTTGATGTTTGATTAGGTTCACTGCAGTGTGCCAGTAGGGCATGCCACAGCCATTGTTTGATAGCCTAACCCCCTAACCACATGTGGTACTTTAAATTTATTACTAAAGAGCCACACCGTGTGGTATTTTAACATGGACCTAATTTTATAGTGTCGTAGTCTTTAAAATGTAAGCTCTTTGTGCTGTTGTAGTGTCTCGACTATAAACCATGCCATTTAAAAATGGATTATCTTTTTTTTTGTTTTAGAAAAGTTGGAAACACATCTGACAAAGAGAACAAGAGCACATTTGGAGAAGAACAGAATAAACATACCATGAAAAGCTCTATGAAACAACCCGTGGAAGATTCTCTAGGACTTCTCGCAGAACATCCCGTGGAACACACTATGGTATGTTTCCTGGAACACTGCCTAGAACATCCCGACGAATATCCCAAGGAAGCATCCGTAGAGCCTTCCGTAGAGCGCCCCATGGGTCGCCATGTCGAAAGCCCTGTAGAACACCCCATTGAGTCTGAGGATTTAGTAGAGCACCAAACCGAAAAGAAGCTTTCACGTAAAAGAACTAGGGACCCAAAATCCTGGGCACACAATATTCGAAAGGAAAAATATGATAGAGGAATGGAGTACGTGTCATCAAGAAAAAAACTTCGTCCAGCTAGAAAAATTGTAACAAAAAAAGATTGTTTAAATAGATGCCACTTTAAATGTGCTACAAAACTAATTGAAGATGATAGGAAAGATATTTTTTCAAACTATTATAAGTTAGACGCAAACGAGAAGAGAATGTTTATCCTAAATACGACTATAAAGTGTAAGGTTGAAAGAAGGAGAAAGGGAAAAAACTCTGATAACTCACGAAAAATGAATAGTTATGGATATTTTTTCATATTAAATAACCACAGACTACAGGTCTGTAAAGACTTTTATTGTGGAACACTGGCTATAAGCCAAAAACCTATATATACCGTCCATAACCATGCAACGAATTCCCACACACTCAAAAAAAGCACACAGGGAAAGCATAAGAAGAAGTATATTCCAGAAGAGACTATAAGTTTAGTGAAAGAGCATATCAAAATGTTTCCTGTCGTAGGGAGCCATTATTGTCGCGCAGAAACAAAAAGGCAATACCTAGAAGGTGAACTGTCAATTAAGAAAATGTATGAGCTATATGAAGAATTTGTAGCCCTGTAAAATTTCACAAATACCGTGAAATTTTCTGTACAGAGTTCAATTACTCTTTTATTAAGCCAGTAAAAGATTTATGTGATCTTTGTGCCGAGGTAGATTTAAAGAAAAAAGAAAATAACCTTAGTGATGAAAAGAGATATGAATTTGAGAGACATATTAAAGAAAAGAACCTTATGAGAGAAGAGAAGAAAGCAGACAAAGAAAGTGGCATACCAATTCTGAATTTTGACCTAGAAAATGTTCTAACTTGCCCAAAGGGGGTAAAGAATTTTTTTTACAAGTCTAAGCTTAATGTTTACAACATGACCGCACATCTTTCAATTGACCGAAAAGTTTATTGTGCAGTTTGGTCAGAAGCTGTTCATAGTCGTGCTGGTAATGACATCGCAAGCGCTGTCTACAAAATTCTAAGAAGGGTTACAGAAGATTGTCCTCTATTGGATGAGCTGATTTTGTGGAGCGATAGCTGCGTCCCACAAAATCGGAACAGCTTAATGAGTTATGCTATTGCCCATCTTTTACAAGTCAGTTCGAGCTTAAAGAAAATAACAATGAAATTTTCCGTACCAGGGCACTCATGCATCCAGGAAGTCGATTCCGTGCATAGCGCAATTGAGCGCACTCTGCGTAAATCTGAATACTCATCTCCCATTTCTTTGATTCGGATCCTTTTAAAGGTGAATTCTAAAAAACCTTATAACATTCTTCAAATGAGAGAACAGGATTTTTTTGATTTTAATTACTATTCGGTTAAAATGAATTATAAGTCTGTCCCATTTTCAAAGGTGGTAGCCTTAGAATTTAACAAATCGTTCTACGAGATAAGGTATCGGCTCTCTTTTTCTGAGGCTGAATATAGATCTTTGAATTTAAGACAAAGAATTGGCCGACGTCAATCCCACGTCACTGCAGAAAGAGGCGATATATTATTTCCCGAAATACTGAGGAAAAATGATTATGCAGTGGTACTTGCACAACACAAAGTAGATGCAATAAAATCAATGTTCAAGTGGATGCCAAAAAATGATGTGACTTTCTATGAAACTGTTTTTAGTAGATTAGATAAAAATAAAAAATAAGATTTTGAGTATAAGTATTTGATGGATTTGATACTCCCTTGTATTAACTAAGTTTTAGTTTGTTTTGTCTTAACTTTAAGAATTTGGGTTATTTTTATTTAATTTCAAGTTTTGAAGTCCTATGTTTGCCAATATCCTTAATTTTTAAACTTATTTGACAGTAACGGAGTCCTATGTATTTTTGTTTATCTAAAATAAAGACTAATAAAAAAAAGTGTGACGACTTCCTTTATATACCATGTACCTTTTACTTACAAAGATGTAAAAATCACAGTAAGAACCAAAAGATGTTCAAATTTAAGTAGATATAAACCTCAATTTCTTTAATATTGATTTTCTCGAGTTCGAATAATTGTAACATAAGACTATGTAATTCTAGGGCAGCGTAGTCATGACGAAAATTACTCAAATGCTACTACGTACGACCAGTCACGATATTTTCAACACAACAGGAGAGACGCCAACTTGTGCAAACTTGACAATTTTGGGTACACACGTACCGTTTTGCTTGCGCAAGCGCGCCTAATTCAAGCAAGCATAATTAAAATCAATTCAATCCTCAAGCTGCTTGTACAATTACGAAGCTTGCACCACATTTCCCTACAAACATTCAAGCGTACTTTTACAAAAAGATTGAACAAGCATGCTGAACAAGCATGCAGTTGTGTCTGTAGCCACCTTTAGTCTTTCCCTTGTGCACCAAACTCTGTAAAACCCATTCTGTAGATGTCTTTTAGTGACATTTAAACGATTAATAAAGTACATTTTAGGTAAAACT